AAAGGTGCGTTTTTTGCAGAGTTCCCCGCAATTTTTGTCGCTACCGGCATCGGTTTTTTCGGCAAATGCTTCAAGCTAAACAAATTAAGACTGGCTGCCAGAACTGGCAGGAAACACCCCCTCAAAATTTCAGCTTTCTAGTTTTCCTGGCTCCTGAGTTAGCAACTTACTGGAAGAAACTTTCATGGGCCGTATGTGGGTACCACGCATGCCCGATGTCTGGGTTTGAGCTCGTTGGGACTTACTTGGACGGGGAACATCTCCTTAAAACTACAGTGTATTAGCTTTGCAGGTTCTCGAGTTATGAGCTTACCCGAGAAAAACTTTGGTGAACCCGTGCGTAAGTTCCAGCCCCTTAGTTTTCGTAGGCCTCAAGCACTTCTGGTTCCCGAATTAGTAGCTTACCTGTAAAAAACTTTGGCGAGCTTTTACGCGGGTACCATGCAAGTAAGGCCGCCCATCTTGAGGATAGTGGCCCAAACGTGCATGTAGGCCAAGTTTTCAAAGTTTCAGCCCCTTAGTTTTCGCAGGTCGTGAGATGAAAAATCAGTGCAGAGGCCCTGCGCGCACGTAGCCAACCTCACGTTTTCCGTATTTCATAGCTGCAAAAAACGCATAAAAATACGTTATGAGCTGAAGCCATGCACGTGTGGGCCACTATCCCCAAAAAAAAAGCCAAACTAAAGCCATTTCAAACTTTTCAAAATTAGAAATGCTTGTTTTTTTCGAATTCAAAAAAAAAAACAAATTTCGTTTGCAGTGAAAGGCGGAAGTTGCTTACCACGCGAGCCTCGTCCATCGCTGCAGTCCGAATTCGTCCGACGGAGTGCAGCGGATTTGTCCAGACCTGCAACAACTACTGCAGTAGTCTTAACAAGCCGCACGTTAAAAGTGCGATCCAATGGCAACGTGTCCTTTAAAAAACATAATAAGTGGCGGCGCGCACCAGGGCATCCGGTACGGTCATGCGTAGTGTGCAATTCCGTTCATCGAAGACATTATATGTATCTGGACAGAAAACACTACCATAAAGTTTAGCTTCCTGGCTTTTGTGGTTCCCGAGATAATAGTTTCCCCGCCAAAATCTTCACGGGGCCGTTG